AATCTGCTGAAACTGGCCACTGGCCAGTCAGTGGCTGAGTGGTAGCAAGGCTTGACCTACTTGGGAGAGGTCTTGACAGATTCACACCTCAGGACTACCCCGAGCACACCAGGCACACCCTGTGCCCATGATCCAGGCCAGCAGGGCTAGAAATGGGTCTTGGTATGTGGACTGTTTGGGGGTGTCTCTCTCTCTCTGTGTTTCTCTCATGGGGAAAAATATAGACATTAAAAAAAAAAAAGTCTTCAGAGCAGCAGAAGCTTGCCAAAAGGACACAGAGCCAGGTTGGAGGAGTTCCCACAGGCCAAATCTGGGATGCGTGCACAGGCATGTGAGACGAGCACCCCTCACCTGGTCTGGCCGTCATCCCCTGCCCTCATCCTCTAGCCTGTTAGATTTCGGTGCTCACATGCATGCCCAGTGTATTTCAGTCAAACCGGACTGGGTATTCGAACCCCAGTTGCCATGTGGGACAACCTGGCTTACTTCTAGCAGGCTATTACTGCTGTGCCACAGAGCTGGCCCTCATTATCAGAATTCAAGAAGTAATAGTTATGGATTAAAACCTGTTGAATGAAAAAGTAAAAGTTCTTGCACTTCATCTGTTTTGCAAGAAAATCTGTGTAGGACTCATGAATAAACTCAGAGTTTGAAGAATAAATTATTTAAATTTCAAACTACCCCTCCACAAAACCCCTGTCAGTCACAGAGGAGAAGAGAGTAACTGCATGGAGAAGGCTGGCAGGTGCCACCTTCATCAGGTGATCCAAGTGGACATCACCAGCAATGGGCAAAATGAAGTCACCACAGGAGCACAGAGAAGGCAGCCCTGCTCCTGTGACTTCCTGCCAAGGTGCATGGCCTAAGGCTAATCACCAGGAAACACCAGATAACCCTCATTTGAGGGACATTCTGCAAAATAACTGGCCTGAGATCTTCGGAAATGTCAAGGTCATGAAAGTCAATGAGAGACTGAGGAACTTTTTCAGAGTCTCCTTTAAGGAGACTGGAGAGACCTGTTAAGTCAGTGCAACAGGTCATCTGACCTGGCTCTTTTCACAGTAAAGGCCATGGCTAGGACAAGTGGCAAAACCCGAATGGGACTTAAGGATTAAATGATGGAAATTGATGGTGATCATAGTCTGATTTTGATGGTTGTGTTGTAGTCACATAGGACAGTGGTATGGTCTGGTTTTTAGGAAGATTACCCACTAGTGTATAGGGATGGTGAGATGGCAGATTGGCAACTACCCTCAGTGGTTTGGGGAGAGAATTCTTTGTACAGCTGTGAGTTTTCTATAAGTTTGAGATTGTTACAAAACTTAAAAAGGGGGCCAAGTAGTGGCACAGTGGTAGTGCAACTGTATCCACATGTCCACATGAATAAAGTCCTGGGTTTGTGTTCAGGTGACTCTGCGAGCATGCCAGGTGTAAACCCCCCTTCCCCCCCGCCTGCCCGTTCCCCATAGGTATGCCAGCCCGGGTGGGTCACGGCATCAAAATCCTATCAAGGATGCTCTTCCAACTCCCTTGCCCTCCCAACAAACTCTTTTTTTTTTTTTAGTTAAAAAGAAGCTTATTTATTTATTTTAAAGTTTGCTACAAGGGACGGGCAACCGTGGGGAGTGGAGGAAGATGGGAGGGGAGGGAGAATGATCATGTTGCAGTCCTCTTCCCTTCACTTCGTTTTGGGATTTTGAGCACAAATGCACTCATGTTTCTGAAGTCTCCGGGTCCAGGATTCAAAGCGCACAGTTGACCGTATGGAATACAGCTCACATAACCACCAGGCCACAGACTGCCCCCCCCAAAAAGAATTTAAAATGTAATATTTTTGTCTGAAACTTAAACCATGAGAAATAAAATTAAAATTCCATTTCTTTTTTTAGGAGATTTTTCTGCCTTAGGGCATGTGGGCTGGGTGGAGAGAGAGATACAATGAGAGAGAAAGTGAGAAATCACCCCCCAGGAGGGATGGCCATGCCACAATCCCTTCTCTTCCCATGGTCTTGGGCACACATGCACACATGCCTGGTATGATTTTTTTTTTTTTTTTTTAAGCAACCAGGTCCGCACCTTGAACCACTGTCAGCCATGTGGGAGCTCAGTGATGTAACTGCCATGCCATCCGCTGGCCCCTAAAATCCCATTTCATATTCTAACCCGTTCTTTCAGGCCTTTCGTGTGTGTGTGTGAATGAATACAGATTACATACATGTTGTAGCTCCTATTGAGTATTTAGGATGTGCTAGATAGACTGCATCCCTGAGGATCACAGTGGTCGTTGATCAGGAGGAGCAGCCTCCCTCACCCAGCTGCACTGCCTTGTGTTACTTGGAGGTGCTGTCCTTTCTTCAGAGGCAGTGGGGTGTAGTGGAGGGCCTTTATGCTCTAAGTTTGCACCCCAGCACTCACAGGGATTGCACAATCTTGCTCAGCTTCACCGTGTGTGCTTTTCCTTATCTGCCCATTGAACATGTTGCTAGTCCCCCTCACAGGACTGCTGTGGGAATTATGTGGGATGAGGCTAGGTAGTGATGTTGTGGTAACACAATTGGACCCACATAGAAAAGGTCCTGGGTTCATAGCCCAGGATTTTGTTTTTTCCTTTTCTTTTCAAGAAATTTTTGCTATAGGGCATGTGCACTTGCCAGAGAGACAGAAAGCAAGAAATCACCCCCACAGGGAGGATTGTCATGCTGCAGTCTCTTCTCCATTCTCCTCTCAAGATTTAGGGCATGCATACACACATGCCCAGTGTGAGTTTTAAGCCTTGGGTCCAGGACTCAACCATGGTCAGCCATGTGGGAGTAGAGGGACATAACTATGATGCCATCTACTGGTCTCCCCACCATGGTTGGCCATGTAGGAATCCAGTGACGTAACCATTATGCCATCTGCTGGTCCCCACAGCCCAGGATTTCACTGTGTGTGCCCCTGTGATCTGGCCAACTAAGATTTGGGGTAGATCATTGCATAAGGACTCTGTCTATCTCTGTCTCTTTCTTTCTCTGTCTCTCTGAAGGAAAAAGAACAATAGGCGTTTAAAACCATTAAATGACTTCTTTGGGAGTGTGAGGGGGTGGAATATATGACAGTCTTACTTTGAAAATGACCAACTTTCAGGAGCCAGCCAGCAGGTGGCATGGTGGTTAAGGTGCAGGACACTCCCACATGGCCGGTTTGAGTCCTGACCTGGTGACTTGCTTTCTCACTGCTGCCCCCATCAAATGAAATGAATAAATATTATTTCATATCATTTTTTTTAAGTTTTACTATAGGGCATATGTGCTTACCAGTGTCAGAGACAGAGAGAGAGAGAGAGAGAGAGAGAGAGAGAGAGAGAGAGAGTGAGCAAGCAAGCCACCTGGTCCAGGACTCGAACTGTAGTTGATCGTGTAGGAGTCCAATGCCACAATCACGATGCCACTTGCAGGCCCCAATAAATAATTCTTTAAAAAAAAAAAAAGGCCAACTTTCTATGATGGGGGTTTCTTTTAATTATTATTTTTAAGGACTCCCCCCGCCCATAGGGCATGTGCGCTTGGCAGAGAGAGACGCAGAGAGTGAAGGCTCACTCCTGGGGGGATGGCCATGCTGCAGTCCCCTCTCTTTCATCCTCCTGTTGGGATTTTGGCACGCATGGACACATGCTCAGCGTGATTTTCTAGCCACAGGGTCCAGGACTTAAACCATGGCTGGCTATGTGGGCTTCCTGTGCCTTAACTACCTGCCGGCCTTCCTTCATGAGTTGTTGTTTTTTTTTTATTTTTTTTTTTAGGTTTATTTATTTATTTATTTATTTATTTTTGGAGAGGTTTTTGCTATAGGGTGTGTGCACTTGCCAGAAAGACAGAGAGAAACAGAGACAGAAAGCGAGAAATCACCTCCCAGGGGGGATGACCATGCTGCAATCCCTTCTCCTCCATTCTCCTCTTGGGATCTTGGGCACACACGCACGTGTGCCCGGTATGAGTTTTAAGCCACTGGGTCTGGGACTCGAACCACGATCGACTACATGGGAGTCCAGCGACATAGCCGTTACACTAACTGCTGGTTCCCTTTCATGAGTTTTTACCAAGAATGTTGCGACTTGCTATGGTTCACATTTGAAAGACTCAAGTGATTTAGTTTTAGGGTATTATATTTCCGGATACATTATGATTTTCCTGCACGACATGGGAAACGTCACCCACTGCTTCTCTGACTATATACAAATCCATGTAGGACAGAAGTTATGCTTGGAAATTGTGAAGCAGAAGGGAGTCTGTCATACAAGAAAGAGAGAACCTATTTCTTTAACATGAATCTGTTTTATGTTTGCCTCAAGATACTGAATGACTTCTCAGTATGGAGATGTGTAACCCTCAGTGTTAGAAAATACCCTTCGCTGGGGTCGGCAGGTGGCCTGGTGGTTAAGAGCGCTGGACTGTCACATGGCCGACCAGAGTCCAGGACCTGGTGGCTTGTTTTCTCACTTTGTCTCTCTCTCTCTCTGTCCCTCTCTGGTCAAATTAAAATAAATAAATAAAGTTGAATAAAATAATTCTTTAAATTAAAAGAAAGAAAGAAAGAAAGAAAGAAAGAAAGAAAGAAAGAAAAAGAAAGAAAGAACTCTTTGCTGTGTGAAGACAAAAGTGTGTCCTTCATGTCACAGGCTGTACAGATTTTAGTCCTTGAAGATGTTTTGAAGAGGCCTGTAGGTCAAGCACCTGCTGGAATAGGACCCAGGGTAGACCAAGTGCGAGATAATGGCAGGTGGGAGCGAGCTCTCCTTTGAGGTTTTCATCTGAGTCTGTACTGCTCTGTGTCCTGCAAGTTACAGCTCAGCAACAATGCTTCCACTCGTCTTTCCCGATGCATCTTGTCTTTTCTTGTTATCCCTTTTCTCCCCACCCAGGTTTTCACTAACATTTTTATTGAACACACTTTTGAATTTAGTAAGGACTTCAGGCCTAGGCCTTTAGACTGTGGAGACGCCAAGTTCTGAAGCCCAAGTCCCATAATAGGCTTCAACTTCGTGGGTTGGCATTCACTAACTAGCAGGTTTCAAAAAAATGCCAGCCACTGGTTATCAGTGAGTGGAGTTGAGAAGACTGATTACCGGTGATCACATGTTTAATAAACATAACTGATAACTCAGAACAAAACGCATTTTTCTTCCTGAGCTGTTGGGACTCCCCAGCCTGATGTCAAGACACTCTAGTACATCACAAAGACCTAACAGGTCACAGCCAGCCAGGTTCCCCTGCCCAGGGTCCGCCTCACCCCTTCCTGGATTCCCATCAGGGTTGCTTCTGGCTGCATGAGCCTCCTTCCTCTTCCTGTCTATCCACGCACGTCCCACCATTTGCCCTTCCATAACAGAAGTCAGCTTCATGGAAATACTCTGTGCTTCTACTTTCATCTCTTCCAGGTATGTCATAAAAATGCAAAACTTACAAGTGTGCCGTGAAATAAACAGATGGGGAAGACAGCCTAAGAAATAAGAAACTCCTTGGTTATTTGGCTGAGTGCTACTTCTGGTAGCAACTGTACAGTTGTAGTAAGTTTATGTTGAAGGTGAGATTTTAAGACACAGTATTTTTGTTCATACAGCCTTGGTTTCAGCATCAGAACACTTTTATGTGATGAGTGAGGCCTTGGCTTCTGCTGATTTCCTTTTGTTTTGTTTGCACTTCCTGCCTCATGGCAGGTGTGACTGAGAAGTACCTGTCAGAAACTAAAGAAAATTTTTTCTAGCCTCATCTTTCTGAGGGTGCAGTGATCTAGAATTTGGTAGGGCTGTTCACTCCAGGATGGAGGGGTAGTGGTGAGGATCTGTTTGGGCCTCTGGCTTGGTTTTTTTTTTTGCCCTTTATGAAGTGCCTGTCTCACCTTTTCTTTCCTCCCCCGGTTTTCTCTCCCTTCTACCTTCTGTGGCATTGCCTCTTCAGCCCTCTACTTCTTACCCCATTTATCTCTTAGTAAATAAAAGGGACTTGGGGGGGAACCAGCAGTTGGTGTAATGGCTATGTGACTGGACTCCCACAAAGTCGACTGCAGTTCGAGTCCTGGACTCACGCCGGGCGCATGTGTGTGTGCCCAAGATCCCGAGAGGATAATGGAGGAGAAGGGATTGCGACATGGCCATCCCCCCGGGGGTGATGTCTACTTTTCTGTCTCTGTCTCTCCGTCTTTCTGGTGAGTGTACGCTCCCTATAGCAAAAACCTCTCAAAACAAACAAACAAACAAATAAATAAAAGGGACTCAAAAAGAAAGAGACAGAAGAAACATTTTAAATGCAAAGTTTTGAGCAAAGTAAGTCTGTATGTTGCACACATTTCTGTAAAGTTTCTAGAGGCTTGTCTTTTGTATTTCACATTCCATCTGTACAGTGGATGAGCCTGTACCTCTGGCCAGTCATTCTGTTGGAGTCATCCACTGTCACTTTGACCCCCAGGGGCTAGGAGGGGCCAGGCAGTGTCTGTTTTCTGGCTTTTGACCTGCCCTTCTGTATTCAGAATGCTAACAAGTGACTAGCCAGAGGTACTTTTATGTGTTGCAAAGCAGGTTTTGTGGAGCTTGGGTTTTAGTGTTTGCACCACTATTTGTAAGCATGATGGCCCTCGTAGTGACACACGTGTAACTGACTCAAGAGGCTGCCCCGCCTCCTTGATGCTCTTCTATGAGAATAATTGACTCCGGTAACTACGGAGCTGCCTGTGGCTATCGAGACTCTCTGCTCTACTTATACCACCGGCTATTGTTCTCTTGGCAGTGGCCGTCATGGCTGTTTTTTTCTATTTTTAATAAGTTGTCAATTACTTGGGTTTTGCAGGATACCAACAGTTGGCTAAAACAGGGGAAATGCACTTGGTTTCCAGCCATTTGGATTTGCCCAGGGAAGGTAGTAATACTGGACTTCATGGGTGGTTATTTGCAAAGTACAGTTGTAGGTCTGCCTTACTGAATGGCACTATCTGGTTTTTCCGTCTTGGAGGTAGTGTACGTCTAAGTAGTTCGAAGCACTTTGCCCAGCCCAGTTTAACTTCCAGCAGTGATGTTTACTTCAGATGTATTACGGGGATGTGAGCTACTAAGCTTGATCAGCTGTTCCTCACATTCTGGGAGCCCTCTTGTTTTCCACCACTGGTTGGCTTGTTCTCATAGGGGAGCTGTCAGGGTCTCTTGTCTTGTTCACTTATGTATCCCCGGTGCTTAGGGGAAGTCTAATAAATATTTGTAGTGTTACAGTAGGCAAACAAGTATAATGAAATAAATAGCTGGTGTTGACAGATTATTTGTTAATGTAAAAGACCAAGGTTTTATGCTAATTCCAAGTAAGGGGCCCAGCTGCGGTAGAATAGGCAGTGCTGGTACTGCAGCCATATGGGAAGATCCAGGTTTAGATCTCAGGTCAACCAAGCATGCCAGTTGACTGGAATGTTAGGGTGAGAATCACTGTGGTGAGACCCTGTTTGGGTTCCCTGGCTCTCTCTCTCTCTCTCTTATATGAAGGAAATAAACTTAAAAGAAAAGTACTTTTCAAGGATCCAGACCAATGGCCTAGTGCTTTAAGAAAGCAGGATCCCACATGGCTCACAGCATGGTTAGGGTCCTGGCCTGGCAGCTTGAAAAACACACCAGTCATGTGTGCCAAAATTCTGACAGGATGGAAAAATGGAGGAAAATGGGATTTCTGCATGACCATACTCCATTAGGGGTTGCTTTCTTGCTCACCTTTTGTCTCACTGGGTATTATATGTACCCTCTGGCAAAACTAAAAGAAAAAAAAAAGTACTGAATTCCTTGATACTGACTAGAGATCAGGAGATTACTAATACTCTACATATGTTGATTCTGTGGTTTATATTGGGTCGTCTGAAAAGTCATGATGTATTTTTCCATGTTTTTCTATGAAAAAATGTATCACGAGTTTTCCGATGACCCAACGTGTTAGAAAGTAATTTAGGGTCCAGCAAGTGGCATGGTACCTAAGGTGCTAGATTGCACATGGCTGACTGCAGTTTGAGTCTCAAGCCCAGCGGCTTGTAAAACGCTTTGGGTGGCTTGAAAAATACTCTGGGCACGTGTGCATGTAAGCCCAAAATCCCAAAAGGAGACTGGAGGAGGAGAGGGTATTTAGCATGACCATCCCTGGGCAGGGTGATTTTTCACTTTCCCTCTCTGTCTCTTCGGTGAGCACACATGCCCTATGGCCAAAATCTAAATAAAATCATAAAAAATTTAGATGTATTAATGTTAGCAGTGAAGTCACTAGACTAGTCGAATACTCGTTTGTCTACAGAAGCAGTAATAATAATCAACCTAGAGCTTCTAAGCTTTGGGATCTGGGTGAGGTCCGTTACTGAATCTCGAAAGTAAGTCATTAATTTGAAAATTAACAGTTAAACATTGAGCATTTTTAAAAAGTAATTGAAACATAATGTGGAAATCACCACTGTAACAAACATACTAACTCCATGAACAGTTAACTGTATTGTAATCATTGGACATATTGGATGTTTATCATCTATAAGTGTTTTATTCTGAATTAATCAGAAAAGTAGTTTTGAAACCATAAATGTGGTATCAGCACTATTTTATTTTGGAGAACCCACCAAGTAAATTTGGGCAGACAAAGGAATTTATTCGGAAAGTCTTTGGGTTCTGAGGTTAAAGTGAATTTTATTCTATTTATCTGTCACACAGTAAAGAGACAAGTCACATAATAGTACTTAAGAAATTAGGGACCAGCAGGTGGTGTAATGATTATGTCACTGGACTCCCACATGGCTGACCATGGTTCAAATCCCAGACCCAGTGACTTTTGAAACTCACATCAGGTATGTGCATGCCCAAAATCCCAAGAGGAGAAGGGATTGCAGTGTGGCCTTCCCCCTGGGGGGTGATTTCTTGCTTTCTTTCGTTCTGTCTCCTGCTATCTCGACAAGTGCATGTGCTCTATACCAAAAATCTCTCTAAAAAAGAAAAACGTGGCACCAAACTCTGGTTTCTAGTTTCAGAGCTTCCTCTTTAATTAAGCCTCAATTGTGGAGTGAGGTTAACAGAATTTACCTCAGGAGTTTGAGATTATATTTAAGGTAATGTCCAACATGTAATGACCACTGAGATATTAGATATTACTAGTTAATATTTTTTCTAAAGAATTATTTTATTTAACTTTATTTATTTATTTTAACTTGAATAGAGAGGGAGAGAGAGAGAAAGAAAGAAGGCCACTAGGTCTGGGACTCAAACTGTGGTCGGCCATGTGGGAGTCCAGCACTCCTAACCACCATGCCACCTGCCAGTCCCTGTTAGTATAGTTATTAAAACATCTGATTTTATGAGATGTTCATTCAAGAGGTTCTGGGTGAGCGTGATCCAGAACTGTTCACATTTTTAAAAATGATTTAATCTTATTTATTATTACTATTTTTTTTTTCAACTTGCTACAGGGCACATGCACACACCAGAGAGAGAGAGAGCGCGCGCAAGTGAAAGAGTGAGAAAGTAAGTCACCAGGTCCAGGACTCAAACCGCGCCTGCATGCGAGTCTAGTGCCTTAACTACCATGCTACCAGCTTGCCTCTGAAAACTGTTTCTGACACTTAGAATTTGATCTTTTTTAATTTAAGAATATAATGGGGTACTATAGTGGTAAAACTCTGTGACCTTGCAAGGCTTGCGTGGGAAGGTCCTGGGTTTGCATCCAGTGACCTCCCTGAGTATGTGGGCGAGCACATACCCCTGATCTAGGGCTGTCTGTAGATCGCAGCGTCAGGACTCGCTGGCAATGCCATCTCTCTTGATTTACTTATGGAAGGAAAAAAAGAATATACATTTTAAGATTATCATTACGGTAGCAAGAAAAATACAACAAGTTTGGGACTAACCTAATAAGACCTTCATGGAAGAAAATGTAAAGCTATATTAGGAGACATTAAAATAAAACCTAAACAGACATAGAACTCTGTCATGTTCCTGGATGGATAAGGAGGCTCAGTAATTTAAAGATGTCAGTTCTTTCTGATTTGATATATAAATTCTAAACAATACCAGTAAAAATCCTGATCTTTTTTTTTTTTTCCTTAAATGGAAGAGAGAAAATGCAGGAATAACAAGGAGGACTTAACCCCTATTTGGTATTTTACCGTAAAGCTGTGTAGTGAAGGCACTGCCGTGTAGATGCAGAGGTAGGGATGAACCGGCATCAGAGTGGCCAGACTGGATTCAGACCTCTGTGTGTATCTGGACTCTTCCTGTGATAACACTGCCTTTACCAGTTGACCCTGAGGATGCCGGGGCAGGGGAGGGAGCGATGGACTTTTCAGTAAATGGTCCTGGAATACTTTGTGTGGACTGTGTTAGTCTCAGGGCTGCCATGACAACATGCCACAATGTGGCTTAAAAATATCAAAGTTTGTGGG